ACCTCAAGTGAACAGAAATAGTAATTGCTGCATACAAAAGAAATTAAGTAATTAAAATAATTGCATTCAATCCAAAGTTTGTTGTATTCAGATAAAATAAAAAGAAATGGCCTTTTATTTTAAAAAAATGATGATAATCACCAGTTCTCCAATTTAATTTCCTTTTCTCCACCTAAACCGTTTTAACATCAGAGTACTACATTAAATCATTGCAAGTTCTGTTAAATAATGGTTTTATGACTTAGACTTAGACAAACTTTATTGATCCACAAGGGAAATTATTTGGAAATCTCTACTATCTTTACTAAGTGAATGAATGATAAAATATTTGTAAGTTTTGAAACTAATGTTTTGAAACTAATGATGTGAGAGCCCTTTTCCAATTTGCAGCAGGGGGTTTCCTTATACAGTATGTGATTATTGTTATTAATGGCTGTCAGTTTAATAAGCAATGCCCTTGGTAGGTTCAGAGGTTTTCCATTTCAACATTTTCATTTCAACAGTGGGAATATCTGACAAATACTGTGCGTCTTTGGTTCTCTTTTAATTTCTTGCTGGATTGGGGGAAGTAGGAGTGTGAGGCTGTGGGGCATTCCTGATGTGTTTGGCAGGAGGCGGGGGAAGCACCTGGCACAGAGATATCCACAACAACAACAACACTGAGGCGAGTTTGAGCCCGTGATGAAAACACACAATATGAGCCTGGCCCACCCCTCAATTAACGCATTATTTCATTTGCAGCAGGTGATTCAGGGCAGACGAGGGCCTCCGTAAAGTACACTACATTCAATCATTTTAGATAATTATACAGGACAATTAAAAGAGCACTTTTAACCAGCAGAGTTGAATTTGCATTTAACTTTGCTGAAACACTAGGCATGTCTGGTTAAATACTACATCGACTTATTGTGCAAAAGATGAGAGATGGAACAATAATTTCTAGGGGTCAGTATTTATTGTGGGTACTTTTTCTTTGTACTAGTGGAGAAGCATTTGTTATTTTTCTGTACTATGATGAGATTTCAGCTGTAGAGAGCTGAATAAATAACTTCTATGACTCATTAAGGCTTTTATTTGTTATAAAATTGTTCTTTGGGGGAAATCCTGATTTAGGGTTAACGAGTCAGTGGCATAATCACATTCAATATTATCGCTTATATTTGTCTATATTTTCTTCAGCAATATATAACCCCTCAAAATTTGTTATCATGACGGGCCTATGAAACACAGCCAGCAGCAGCTTGTAGACAGTTGTTCCACAGGGAAAGTCGGTGAAAACCCCAGCTCTGAATGTGAACTTTGGTCGACTGGCAGTCACATCCAGCTCACCACTCAAACATCAAACACACAAGTTGTCCAGCTGAACAGTATGTGCAAAAGTGCTGGCCTTATGACAAGCACTGTCAGAACATGGACAGTGCTCCTGTCACTTGTGTGTCCACTCAGCGGGAAACCCTGTTCACACTCCTTATCAAGACACACTGGACAAAATCATGCCTCTAGAATATTCACTTACTTTAGGTACAGCTCATACTTTTCCATTTAACTATATGTAATATGCAAAAAGTGCAACTGCGCAGTTCATCTTTTACACAACACAACAGCACGTAGCAGCACAGAGCAGCAAGACACAATATATGTCGACTTGTTGTACGTAGGAAAGCTGGAACAATATATTTTGGAGCTCAGTATTTATCATGGGTAAATTTTCTTTGCAAAAGTAATGAGATTTTGGTTATATTTGTTATAATACAATTTGATTGAAAGATTTGAGCAGTAGAGAGTTGAAAGTCACTTCTATGTCTAATTATTGGTTCATTCTACTTATTACTACTTACTATTTACAGCTTATGCCTTATGATGCTGTCTATTAAAAAATAGTTTAGGGATTATTCCACTTTACTTTAATTGTGTCCATAGCATAAATTAGTTTCAATATTATCATTTAGCGCAATTTACATACACTTAAAATGTGTTATTGTGACAGGCCTATTTGATGGAATGATTACTACATGAAATATTAAGCAAAAGGGACAGAAACAGCTAAAACTGTAAAACTGTATTATTTTGCAATAAACAAATATACAGAATTTATAATGTAGCTTATACTCAAAGAGAAGCAACTTTCATCTCCTTTCAGGCCCCGTGTTTCATACTGATGTGTTTTCATTTATTACTTTTTTTATCCAATACTAAACTCATAACCTACCTATGTACATTTCATTCATTAAGAGAAAATACAACAACATGAGTGACAGTAGTATATTATGAAACATGGCTTAGTTTATAGATAGTCAAAATATTTTTCTCTGGCACTATAACCGAGTACAGGTATTTGCCGTGAAGCTGTCAGCTGACCTAGAGATTTACACTGGCTGTAGGTGGAGACACAAAAGTAGTGTCAAATGGGAAATCCACAGTGATAAACAGCACTGAACAGCAATTTACCAAGCAAGCCATCCTTTTTCCCACATTTTTCTACCAACCATCACAAAATGTGAGGTTTGATAAATATAACAGTCTTGTGCTCAGTCGCCTGGATCTTATGGTAGAATTACTGGACATAAAAGGTTGCAATATTTCAGTCTAGACACACATGAATTACCTGGCTGTGTTGAGCCGTAGGAGGCAATCAACAACAAGTGAAACGCGTGCACCATTTATTTTGAAGCATAGCAACAAGTAGCAGTGTAACCTCCCAGGATGAACTGTGTCTACCCAGGGTGAGAACCCTTAAGTGGAAAATGAGGCTGTTATGTAAAAAAAGGTGCCACCTGGAAAGTTTTTAAAAGACAAAATGCAGAGGCATGACTGAAGATGTGACAAACTCATTTTTGGGAGCATGCAGGAAAAGCAATTAAAAGTGCTCTATGAAACTTTTCTGGGTAGAGGATCTGGCACCTGCTTGTCTCCATGGAGATGTTATTGCCTTGCCTGGCATGTGTGGCATTAAACTTCTTAATGGACAGGCAAGTGTCACCATCAGGGCCAGTTTCTGGTCAGCTCTGTGGAGGCTTGAGCCTGCTCACAATAAGAATGCATGTATTTAGAGGCATTTTTGAGCAATAAAAACAACTAATTGAATAAATACGAGATCTATGTTTTCTGCCACAGTGAAGAACATTCCAGGTAAAGTAATAACATCTCCATGAAAACAACCAAGTGGTGGACCCCTGACCAGAAAGGTAAATGGTGCCCCTTTAAAAGCATACTTTTTTCCATAAAGGAGTCACATACACTTGTAATGAGTGCTTCCATGGATGGTATATGAATTGTATGCAAAAAACATCATGCAGTTTATAATGAATTTGAATTAATTGGCCACAGTCTAAAATTAGTCAATAAAAGGAGGAAGCAAACCCACGCAATCTGCCCGCACGCCTATGACATATGACATAACAGTGGAGTAAAAACATTGCAACTGTTATCGCTGAGCACACGGATATAGGTGAGCACTGTTGACATGGTTACAGTCAGTGTGCATGTGCAAGTAAATTAGGCTATTGTAAACCTGCTGAAAAAAGCACTGACACTTGGCTGACACCTCCCGAGCTTGTAAACACAACTGCAGCCAGAATCCAATCGCTCACATGGCCATGAGACTTCAGGAGCACGGGTCTTATTACGATGTGGGGAACACAGCCATACAGCGAAGCTATAGGACCACACCTATTCTATCTTCTCAACAAGAATCAGACTAGAATGTAAGTATGTAGTCAGTACGACCCTATAAACTTCATCTAAACAATGCACAAGAACAGGGAGATGTGACTCAGCAAATGTGACATTTAATAATCAACTAATTAAAAACAAATGAAGCCACATGAGATCAGTCATCATGCAAATTAATGCAGAGGGAAGACATAAAAGTAATGCAGAAATCTTTGATACTCTCAACGTATTTTTTTTAAATTGCCATTTCATCAACTAATGAAAAATACATGAATTTATAAAAATATATATATATATATATAAAATTGTACACACGGCTATATAAACGCCCTGAGTGCTTCAAAAAAATAAAACATAAAAAATAAATCTGTGAATATGTTGTTTTGATATGGTAGAGGCACAGAGTTCTGGGCAGGGGGGGCTGTTTTCTGCAGCCTTCCATTAGATGCAATTATAAATGGCCGAGAGCACAGGGATAGGGAGCCAATCAGATTTCCGCTCGCATGTCAACCTAAGACCAACTGTCTCCTGGCTCTGACAGCCGGATTTTACCTCCATAATTCAAATCCCAGAGCAATCTGCTCTTCCCCAACTCTGAGCAGCGCGGCCGTGTTTACAACGAACACACTCGCGGAAACACAGCAAATAGCATCGAAAAGCGAGTCACAATGAATGAAACCCTCCCCCGAAATGAATCAATCGCGGTCGCAATCACACTTTGATCCGAGTAAACACTTAGCGGTGTTAATTGTGGTCATTCACTGATCTACGAGAGTCCTCTGCCCTTCACCGTTATCCGGCTTTTTCACAAGAACTGTTCTTAATGATTATGCAAATGTTACTAACCGCTGTCATTAGCATCTTGTTTACGGTCTTGACAGCTACTGACACAACTTTGATAGCTCCCAGTGTTAGCTCAAAAGTAAGAGGAACGATTTCAGAAACGTTTTTCTTTAAAAAACAGCCCCACTTTTCTACAATAAGCCGGGAGAAGGACAGCGAAGAAATATCAGCTTATCTCTCCAAGCTCACACTTTCCCTTGACAAACTCTTACTGTACTTAGTCAAACTCTCGCCCTGTACATCCCACAGGCACACACAACTATCGGCGACTTTCAAAGTTGTTTAAATCAGAATATGTGGCCTGTTTTTCACTCTAAACACTATTGCAGGGGGTGGTATTGAGAGAAAGAGAGAGGCAGCCATTTTAGAGCTCTTGCTACATAGACAATGGCTGATCCAAAGCAAAATGCAACTCTTGTCTGTCTTTTCTGGACTACACATTTACTTTACCAGTGTACAAGTATCTGTGCAGACGTGTGGTTTACCTGGGTTCTGTTAGGTGGTTGTCCAGTGTTCCCTGGGCTCATAGGAGGTGGATGGTGAACCCTTTGTTGCCAACCCGGATGGACCCCAGCATACTGACTGCTACCCATATCTCCTGGTCCCTTGTTAGCCCCGTCCTGATTGTTATAGTCCCCCTGTGGGTAATTCGGATAGGTCCTAGCCGAGCTGGGAGATGTCAGAAGCTGGTTTAAAGTTGGTGTAGATGTAGGTTGTTGGTTTCCCATATTATACCTCTGATTATTATAAGAAGCAGCCATAGCAGCGGTTCCTCCTGCTGGCTGTTGCTTGCCTGGCTGCCCCCCAGCCGCCGGAGGCTGGCTATTGCGTGGGGAATTCATGGCCCCGTAGCCCTGGCCTTGATAAGAAGTCCTATTCGGGAATGGGCTGTAGTTGTTGTAATGGTTGGGGTAGCCGTGTTCGTGTGAGTTAGGGGGATATGGGTCCATCATGCCCGGCCCCGATGCAGCTGCCATGCCAGGGCTTTGTTGTCCGCCATGTTGATGAAAAGGGGGCCTGAAGTGCTGGTTGTAACCGTAAGGAGGTGGGGGAAAGGGGCCCGTATGATGATGTCCCATTCCGGGATGGTTATTCCCTTCGGGTCCGCCAGAATCATTCTGATTACTGTTATTATTATTTACCCTGGGCAAATTGCCGTTCTTCATGTCAGGATCCCCTCCTCCCCCAGCGTTGCCAGCATCGGTCCCGTCCTGTAGCTCCTTCTGGCCGGGAGAGCCCCCGTCAGTCCCAGGTTCCTTTTTCTCATGCTGCTTCTCTCCCGCCACCGACTCATCCTGCGGGTCCCGGTCCGGCTTTTTGAGTTCGGATGGCGGGCTAGTATTGAGAGTGGCGACGCTGGCGACCTGAGCGGCCATATTCCTCTGTCTCCCAAGTCGTTCGCAGCCTCTCTCAATCAGCAACGCGACTACTCACAATAAAAATCCGAAGAACCATTGAATATAAATACAAGGAGATTTAGAAGAACGTACCCGCTGTCCCGGTTCATTCCCCCTTTGCCCTCCGTCCGGACCGGTATCCGGTAATCCACCGCGACTCCGTACAAGTTAAAACAGAGAGGGGAAAGTTTTGGGAAAGAAAAAACACATGAAAACAGAGCCAGGGATGCAAGTTTTGCCAATACAAGTGGGAGAGTGTGTGTTGTAGGGGCTTCTGTTACAGGACGAGAGCGAGAGAGCTAGATATCAACCAAAGCAGCACGAGGCTCCGCGAGACACAGCCATTTTACCGAGTTGTCGCGAGAAAATGAAGACCCGGAACGGATTCTACCTGAAGCTGGATCTGGACTCGACAAACTGTGTAATAGTAACAGCAATGTTTATATATTTAAAAGAGACCTTATGCGTCTTAAATTAAAACGAAGTAGTGCTAGAAAAACACCACCATTTATTTGGAATAAATCGTGCAATATAGGCTATGCGATATCATAGCCTAATAAAACGTGACAATGCAAATGAAGCAATACTGCAGTAAATATATATATATATATATATATATATATATATATATATATATATATATATATATATATATATATATATATATTCTTATAATGGAGTTATATAATTGTGTTTTAGTATCCTTTAAGGTGGAAAAGCAACTTAAAAAGAATAATTAGGCCTACTGTACAGTAAACTAATTCTTGTCAAAACAAATTGAAGGATAATATCGCCACAAAGAAGAACATTTTTAGCTTTCTGAAGATATATATTTGACTATGGATGTCTAGTTCCATGTATAATTTTATATAGTGAACTCTTTATTATTGTTATTTTATTGTTATTTTTCCAAAATGTTCATACTATGTTTATATATGCAATATGGCAAAAACGTTACTTTATACAATGTCCGTGTCAATACTGGCCTGAACAATAGAACCAAACAGAATGGTTAAAATGCCCTTTCCCTTGTTGATATACTCCACATTGTGCCTTGAAGTCAGCCATAACTATTCAACCATTCTGATTACAAAAATGACTTCATGCTTGAGTTGTGTGTTCCTATTTGTTACATTCATTTCTGCTCTTTATCTTATTAGCTCGTTAAAGGAGTGGAACAAAATAGGCTACAATGTCATCTTCTGTTAGAGTGCGCTAATGGGTAGAAATGACTGTTCCCATACTGCTTCCATGTGTCGACAGCAGCAAATGAGGGGAGTGAGCACAGTGGAGGGAAAGCATGAAATTACAACCTGTGCATGTCTGTGCAGCTTGAGTGTGTGTTAGCGCTGTAGAGAGGACAAAAAGGATGGGGGATGGACACAGAGAAAGAAGTGTAAAAAAAACAAAAAACAACTGTCTCAGTGATGCTGGAAGAAGTGCCAAGTTGTAAGGTACATAATGTGGCATTTAGTGTTTTTGGTTAAAGTCACATCTCCACCACTAGGACAGGCAGGAGGCATGAAGTCGTCCTATACAATTAGCAGAAGTAGAAAGCCTGGCTCTCCCCACCCCCTTTCTTCTCTCGTGCTCTCCTAGCAGCAGCAGCCTTCGTGCTGCCTTCAGGAGCTGCAGTAATTATCACGATCACACCACAAATCACATATCCTATGTATTAACGTAGAAATTATAAAAAGTAAGATTTTCCAGTTACTATAACTGGTACATATTGACAGGAAAGAAAGCTTAAACAATCTTTTTTTTTTCCTTTACAGTTCCACAGCATGTATTGACTAGGCACAGGTTAAACAATGACAACAAATGTAAAACACAAAATTTTTTTACAGTCACTTGTAAATAATACGTTTAAATGTGAATAGACTGGCCAAAATAAGCGTATCTGATATTTACCAAACTGTCACTTATTAAGGCAACTTATTTGTTCACACATATATCAACCAAATTAGATGTGCAATGCTCATATAGTTTCTATTTGCATAATTTTTTTCATAAATTGCAGACTAACTTGCGATGTTTGTTTGTAGAAGGGCTTTTACTTCAGCTGGCAACACTGAATGCAGTGATAGTGTGCATTCACGAGCTTCACGACGAGTACATGAACGCAGCATCACCGCTTGCAAAAGCAGCAGAACTTTGCTATGTGAATGTGGGGGATGGGAAGCGGCACAGCCTGCTCTACTGAGTCCTTTCTCTCTACAATGCAGGGCTTTCTGCACTTCTGCATTAGCTCACTCTATACAAAGTAAAGCTATGCTGCTTTACTTCAAGTTTGACTCAGAATCCCACCAGAATATCTCTCTGTACTTTAGATATTTCTGGTGCTTTTGTGTGTTTAATAAAGGAGAGTGTGCAGGGTGGAGGGGTAGCTCAGCTGCTGTCTGCTTATATAGGCTAAGGGAGGAGTGTGTGTTTGAACACAGCGCAGAGACAAGGCTGCGAGAGGGGAGGGGGTAGGGAGCTTCGTTTTCTTTTTACCATAAACTTGGTGTACGTTATCAAGGGGTGCAGTCTCCTCTTCTCTTCTCTGTTTTATTTTGGAGCTCCCATATAAAGGCCTACCTCATTATGCTTTCTATGCAGTGCTTTCTCTGTCCTTTTTAGATGTTGCTTCAAAAATGCACTGTTTTTCTATAGCTCACCTTGAAAAATATTTATCGGTTATTCCGCTGCCTGTGCGCTTCTGAGTAGCTGCAAAGTGACTTGAAAGCACTGAGATCATGTGGTATGTTAAATCTCTGTGGGAGAGCAACAACATGATGCTAAAGACCTCATGTGCAGCTAAGAGTTTCATGCATTTATTTATGTGATCCTTGTTTTACAAGGATCTGGTGTTCTTAGAGTTGCTTTGATCTGGACAAGACAGCGGTAACAACAATGACCTATGTTCAACATGGACATTGTTCGAATGTTATTCTTTATAGTGCATTCTTTCCATTGCAGAACTCCTCATGCAGACTGTGAAAAGGCCAGCTAACAGTAGTTTACGGTCGCTATCACAACTGCTGCTTAGCCAGTCGCTGTACTACAACTGTTACCACCCACAGATGATAAATGACTTGACAAAAGTGATACCATGAAAAGTTCTCACAGTAATTCTTTGTCATAATCCTGTCTGGCTCATGCAGAAAATGCCTCACACTTCCCACATGAACTTATAGTGTTGTGCCCTCTGTCTATTGTCTTTGGAAGCACTATTCAAAGCTGTGGAAGCTATATTGAGAAAGCTGCTAGTGGTGGTGCCTGTTGTTAGGTATGCTTTAAAGCTAGAGCAGAAGGTATGGTGGGAACTTCCTACATCCCTCCCAGGATGATGATTTAGGAGTGTTTACCATTGTCTTACCGTTGCCTTCCTCAGAGGATGACCATGATGCATCACCTTTCGGTTTAATGCAGCAGCTTCTCTTGCCATCACAGAGTAGTTTCTTGGCCATAATCCAGAAAACAACTGTTACTTAACAAATAATAGTAGACATTAAACATTTAATTAAAAATATTATTTACTCTAATTCTGAAATTACAAAACTGGAAGTTTATTGTTCATTGGACGATGAAATAATATTTAAAACATAAACACAGATTAAGCTTGAGACACTGACTGGTTATCTTTTTACATATTACAAACAAAGCATACAATTTGATATTTGGGAATTGTTTGATATCCATAAATAATACAACAATGTGTATCAATTAATCTAAGCTTTATACAGCAAGAGTGCCACTCTTGTTGAGAAAGATAACTGATGACTGATCATTGAAGAGTTTTTCTTTTTATTTTATTCCCCTGAGATCCAATCTGGGAATGGAGCCATACAATCTCCAAGACAACCCAATAATGTGGCGTGGAATTTCCTAACAAGAGCTGAGCTGAATTTGGACACACACAGACGCACAACTCACGTGTACAATGGCTAAACACAGCCCAAACCTGACATTAATGCGCACACTGTGAATTTATGGCAACATAGAGACGCTCATTAATGGTCACTTGTGCCAAAAATCTGCAGAAGCACTTTGTCAATGACTCTGTCTTGGCCACACACACTAAAATAACACACATACAATTACAACAGTTGGGTGCTGTCCAAATGGTTGCCAAGCAGCAGTTCGACGCATAGTCTGGAGTGTGTAAAGGAAGGAAGTGGCACTTGGGAAGTGTAATAGGCGTCCGGCTAGTTCCCAGACAGTGTGCATGCTGGGCTAAGCAAGGTAGCCTGTAGTATGTTTACATATACTTTAGGGTTAGATCACTTACATTTTAATATTCAGAAATTATTGGAAACTATGACATTGTCTCAATCTTTCTCAAAGTAGCTTCAGTCTAAAAATAGAAATATTTCAATTATATTATTACAATATGGTTTATAAGACTTCATCATTTTTGTTTTGTTTTTGTTTTCTCTTTTTTGGTCAAATCCCTTTACTGCCTGTCAAATAGTATCCACCCATCTTCCTTGAAGCGATGACAAACTTCTCTTTCTGTACACTTCCTCCAGCTCTTCCAAGGCAACCCTAAGGTGCTACATGGTCAGCCGGGGGTCTCTACTCTACTCCTAAGTGAATAGGCTCCTCAGTCTCATCTCTAGGGGAGTGCCCAGGTATTTCTGACCACTTGTCAAATAATAAAATTTTAAAATGTATTGAGTACTTGTTATAATGGCCTCAAACACCACATTTTAAGTTCATATTTAAGCCAGTGTGGGATTGGGAAATGGGATTTTTGCATTCATTGGCTGCTTAATCCTTATCTTGTCTTATATTTCATAGTGCAATCACATTTGGTCTTAAGGTGAAAATAGTCCTGGGACCTAGCGCCTCATGACAGTCTCTCCAATCAAAGTCAACAGGACATTTTCAGGTTGCTCCCATGAACTTTTATCTGCCTTTTTCTGTGAGGTGATAATATGCTAGGGGGCATTTCTGTTAAAAACATCTTTGAATTCATGAAGTCTGTACGGTCACACCAGCGGCAAGCGATGAATTCTAAGCACTCCATTTCTCGCAGTGTGCTCAAGTGAAGTGAAAAAAGGAACCCCCGATCTCAACAAAGCCAGGCAAGGTTAAGAGCACTCAAAATTACGGTGTCCACCCCACAAGGACAGAGAAGTGCTCACACAGCTTTCAACAGGGATGAAAAGAAACCGTGCAGGGAATCATCTCTGTAGTGAGGGAACTCATCACAGTGAACATACCAAGAACTACTCCATTGTGGGTCACTCACGGAGCTCTGAGTGTGCTGCAGAACTATGGACAAACAGCTGCATCCCTGAAATAAATAAACCGACAGTAGACTGGGTGAAATAAAGTGAAAGAAATACTGGAAGTATATGAAGAGAACACATCA